GGGGGGGGTGAGGAATTAAAACTTCTTCCGTGTCGAGGACTTGACTCTTATCGTGGTGGACACGCAATTGCGCCATCGGACCTGGAAAGTCCATGTTGCGCGGGGAGTTATACACTCTCTAGAACCCACAAAGGGAGGGACAGAGGAGGGCGGCATGCTCGGTCTCATTGCCACGGTCAGGCAATGCATTACGTTAATGTACCCTGTGAAGGGGGAAAAAAATATCAGACTCAGTCAGGTCAATCAGGACATGAAGTCCTCCTCAATGTTCTCGTTCCCCTCCTTATTGCTCGGCCCCAGAAGCCCGAGCTCAGCCGTCCTCTTGACGAGCTCGTCGGCTTCCCTCGCAGCCTGCGGCTCGACCACCGGCGCGGCAGTGCTGGACCGCACCTGCACCTTGACATCGCCCAGGATACCGTCAACCTTGAGCGTGGAGACCGTGGACGAACCTCCCGGGGGCGGCTTGAGGTCGGGCTGCGGGCCCATGTTGACCAGCTCCCGGAAGAATGAATTTGCCGTCTCGCATCCGTCGAGGAGCCACTTGAGGCAGATGGTCACGCGTTCCTTGGCAAAGGGGTTGTGTCCGTCGTAGGCGCACGAGTTGAGGAGGGGCACTATGCCGTTCCACTGGACTATCTGCATCTGGGTCTTGGGGTTGCCCGGGCTGGTCTGGCCGGGCGGGGGCTGCAGGAGGGTGGCCAGGATGGTGAAGATCTGGCCCTTGATTCCCGCCCAGGGGAACTTGTGGGCTGGTTCCTGCAGGGGTGGCGGCGGCGGCGAAGATGACGATGCAGTGGAGTACCGGCTGTCGGCGGTCGAGTAGGGTCGTTCAACCATGGGATTCTCGAGCCCGGCGTCATCGGGTGCTGCTGGTGCGGCGGCGGCCGATGATTGTGACGATTGCTTCCTGCCCAGGTCCACCAGGGGCTTCTTGGGAATGGCCGCCTCCAGCCCGTTGAGTATGACGAGGAGGTCGTAGGTGGCCTCCCACTTGATGAGCTCCTCGCGCGTGTCGTACATTTCGGCCACCGTCGTCAGGAAGTCGAGGTACTGCGCCAGCCCGTCCTTGGCCCGGTCCATGTCCCAGCTGTCGACGGGGAACTCGGCGGCGTCTACTTGGCCCTGCCGGATCTGCGTCTGGAGGTGCATCAGGGCCGCGCACTCGGGCACGATGCGCGTGCGGAAGAAGCTGAAGAGGAAGTGCACCAACTTGATGTCCTTGGACTCGGGATCCTTGGGCGCCTGCGCCGCGGGACTGTTGACGCGCGCCCGGAACATGTGGCTCACCAGCCGCAGGAGCACCGTCTGCCCGGGAGAGATGATGTCCTTGGGTATGCGCATCACGTTCCATGCGTAGGGGATCAGAGCGCTGTGGTGGAGCGCTTCGATGATCTGCGTCGTCACCTGGAAGATGAGCGACTGCTCGTCCTTTTCCCACACGGCGATGAAGACGAGGAGCTCTCGCAGCAGGCTCTTGCCGCAGTCCAGGGCGAGAAACATGCGGCACCGCGTCTTCTGCAGGTTCTCGCCTGCTCGCGTTAGCCCGGACCCTGCGTTATCAAGGATGCACGACTTGACGATCATGTGGAGGGCCTCGATCTGCTTAGGATCTAGTATGTTGGGAATCTCGGTGAGAAGGCCGGTTAAGGGGCCCTCGCCGTAGGATTCGTTGTCGTCGATCTCATCGTCGTCCATTACATCTTCAACATAGTCATGCGCGTAATCGTGCCCATGGTGGTGATGGTGGTGATGGTGGCAATGGTGATGATGACTGTCATGGTCGTGATCGTGATCGTGATCATGATCGTGATCATGGTGGTGGTGGTGGTGGTGATGGTGGCAGTGGCCGTGATCGTGGTCGTGGTCGTGGTCGTGGTCGTGTTCGTGGTCGTGTTCATGTTCATGGTCATGTTCAAGGCCATGCTGGTGGTCGTGGTCGTGATCGTGGTCATGTTCGTGGTCGTGATCACACTCGTAATCGTGATCGTGGTCACAGCCGCATTCTTCATCGTCGTAATCGTCGTGGTCATGCGTGCACCCGTGGCATTCGGAGCACTGGTCCTGGTCCGAATAGTCGCCCTCGGCGACGACGGAGCCGTGGTCTCCGCGATACGAGTGGGCGTAACGGTGGACGAGGTTCTGCTTGCAGTGGTCCAGACGGGCCTGAGCTATCTCGGTGGTGGGGATGGGCACAATATACTGGTCGTAGTTGGGGTCGCGGGCCTTGAGCCACCAGGTGTCGATCTCACGCGATACGCGGCCGTACAGGCGGTCCTGCTCAAACTTGTCCGGTTCGTCGGGGTTCCAGACGGGGCTGAACTTGTCGTCCTTGTCGGCCTCGGCCTCGATCTCGCTGGGGCCCATGCCGTCCGGCAGCCAGTTCCAGGCCAGGGGCCTTATGGGGGCGAGGTTTCCCGGCGGCTTGTCGGCATGGTTCTGCGCGTAGTCCCTCAGCAGGTCCCTGGCCGTGTCACACATCCTCGAGTTGCGGTCGAGCCAGTGCTGCACCTGCTGCTTGGCCACGTCGGGACGGAAGCCGGAGCCGTCGCCCAGCCCGTCATCGGACCCGGAATAAGCGCCGTCGTCGTCGAAGAGGACGTCGAACCAAAACGACATTTTGTTTCGGTCATGCTTAGCGGTCCAATTATGCGCCTGTTGTAGCGAAGTCACCAGAAGCTTCTTGTCTGCAGTGTCTCCCGTCAGCCATACGGCCCCCATATGGAAGGGGGAAGGAGAAGAGAGGAAGCATACAGTGTTCGGTAATCTCGGTGAGTTTTAGGCGCTGGGCCTCGTCGAGAATCTCGCCATCGTAGCCCTTGCTGGTGACGTTGACGCAAAGGATTATTGTCTGGTAGACCATTTGGTCAAAGTGGACGGCGGCGCAGATGTCCTGAGGCACTTCGGGTTCGGCGTTGACGAGAAGGTTTCGGGCGATGTGCATGAGCTTGATGAGGGTGGTGAGGTCGTCCTTGATGGATGCGTGATTCATGACGATGAACCTAGTGCTCTCCTGAGGGCTTACGCCCTTGTCCGGGTCGTTGAGGCTGGAGAGGGGACCGACGGAGCGCGTCGTCAGGCTGGGGATGGCGGCGGCAAATATCCTGGTGAGCCATATCCATATGGCGACGTTGCGCGACAGGGCTTCGCTAGCATCCGGCACATGATATCGTTAGTATGTGGAGTGCTTGTCAGAGCCCAGGCGGGGGGGGGGGGGGGGGGGGGGGGGGGGGGGGGGGATCTCCCATCTTGCAGTATCAAGTGTCTCGTCCAACAGTCTAAAAAAGGCACGAGTGCAAGCAGCGGTTCGTGGGGANCTTCGCTAGCATCCGGCACATGATATCGTTAGTATGTGGAGTGCTTGTCAGAGCCCAGGCGGGGGGGGGGGGGGGGGGGGGGGGGGGGGGGGGGGGGACGCGGGAGGGGACAGAAGCCCCACGGAAGATTGTACCGAGATTTCCTGCACGTGTGCGTCTTCTCTAAGGTCTTTGCAATGAGTGAGTTGACCTTGGCTGTGGTCAGAGGGCCCATGGGAGGCGCCTGCGTATAGTGGCCTTCGAGGCAGATGAGGGCGGCCGAGAAGCAGCGTTCCTCGATGCTCTCGCCCGAGCCGGCCGGGGTCTGTTGGGCCTTGGCAACGGCGAGGTCGACGAAGTCGTCGAGGCGCGTCATGGCATTTGCGGGATCCATCGTCGCCGGCATCAGGGCTCGAGAGGGTTGGTCAGCTTAGCGACAAGGTCGGTCGAGAAGTCGGTCGAGCAAATCTCCGATCTCCGGCGGCGGGAAGAGGGTGATGGTGATGGTGATGGTGTTGGAAAAATCAGGTGCGCCGGATGGGTATTACAGTGGCGGGGAGCGGTTTGTAAGCCCTTTTTTTAAAAAGAAAAAAAAAAAGGGTCTTTTCATTTTTTTTTTCCATTTCTTTTTCATTTCCCGTCTGTGAACATCTTTTTCTTTCAGCGGTCGGAAGGTATCAATATAGCAGCAGGCGCATCATAAGACGTGGAATATGCAGAGCTAATCAGTCGAAGATACCTCGACTTCAAACATCAACTGATTTAGGAGCACTCAGAACGAAAATTGACGCCTATAGCTATGACAGACTGACGATGAAGATGAATCATACGATGTGCTACTGCTGTACTGGCTGGCGCTCACATCACCGCTGAAAGTGACGAGTTACAGGCGGAAAGTCCCCCACGCGTTGGTGGCAGCGCGGGGTGTTTCTTATCGATAAGTAACCCCTCGGACTTGTTCCTGAGCTGGTATAAAGAAAAGGGAGCAAAAAAGGAACGAAAGAAGAAAGAAAACAAAGTAGAAGTAAAAAAAAAAAAAAATTTAAAAAATTTAAAAAAAAAATAAAAACCTAAAAGTCTTGATTATGTGCTACTTGATATAAAATGTTCCAGAGTGACCAATGGTAAAACATGCAAATACCATGGCGTCTAGAAAGCAGTGACTTGACAGATGGCGGCCAATTGCGACGTCCAGAGTCCCAGAGTGGCCTATCGGTCGCGATGGTGGGGTAAAAGGCCGTCTGAGATTTCCGTGTCCCGCCTCATCCGCCCTTCCTTTTTCCTACCGTAGATGCTGAACATTCCTTCCTTCTTCGAAAGCCACGTTTCTCCCTCTCCCTATACATTGTCAAAATCATAGACCGGAATATCAGTAGGGACTGAGTAGTAATCTGTCACCATGGCTGCCGACCTGCCCACCACGTTTGACAGTACGTCTGCACTCGACCCCTCTTCCTCTTCCTCTTCATCTGCCTCATGATATCGCCAAACAACTTAGGATTCCGAAGAGGAGAGTCAAGATAGAGGGAGGGGGGTTTAAAAGAGAGAGAGAGAGAGAGAGAGAGAGAGAGAGAGAGAGGATAGAAGAGAGAAAAAGAAAAAGAGACTGACGGAATTTCCTCTGAAATCAGAGCCCGTGCACATCGCCGTCATCGGCGGCACAGGCCTAGGTCAGCTCGAGGGCTACGAGCCCATCGCCCTCCTCAACCCCGAGACGCCCTGGGGCTTCCCCGCGTCGGCCATCAGCATCCTCGAGCACAAGGGCGTCCACATCGCCTTCCTCGCCCGTCACGGCGTGCACCACCAGTTCGCCCCGCACGAGGTGCCGAACCGGGCCAACATCGCCGCCCTGCGCCACATTGGCGTGCGCACCATCATCGCCTTCACGGCCGTCGGCTCGCTGCAGGAGGAGATCAAGCCGATGGACTTTGTCGTCCCCGACCAGGTCATCGACCGCACAAAGGGTATCCGACCCTTTACCTTTTTCGAGGGCGGCGTCGTGGGCCACGTCGGTTTCGCCGATCCGTTCGATGCCGGGCTGGCCAAGGTCATCAAGACTTGTGCTGAGCATCTCAGTGGTGAGGGCGTTGTCCTCCACGAGAAGGGGACCGTCATCTGCATGGGTGCGTCTTCTTCTTCTTCTTCCTCCTTTTTTTCCCCCACTCCTTCTCATCTCCTTCCTTGCCCCCGACATCGAGACCCTCTTCCGATCTTCCCCCCCTCCCCCCACCTGACTGATTTTCATCTATGACTTCTTCTCTCTCTTGGCGCGAATTACTCTGACAAGAACTAAAAACCGAAATAATCATCAAAACATGCAGAAGGACCCCAATTTTCCACCCGCGCCGAGTCACACATGTACCGCTCGTGGGGCGCCTCCGTCATCAACATGTCGGCCCTCCCCGAGGCAAAGCTCGCCCGCGAGGCTGAGCTAGCCTACCAGAGCATCTGCATGGCCACCGACTACGACTGCTGGCACTCTTTCGAGGACGTCAACGTCGAGATGGTCGGCCAGTATATGAATGCCAACAGGCAGAACGCCAAGCGCCTCGTCGGCGCCGTCCTCGACAAGCTCTCGGAGATTGACCACAGCGACCTCGTCCAGGCCAAGCACCTCGTCGGATATGCCCAGGGTGGCCTCCACTTCATGACCAAGCCGGAGGGCCGGGACCCGGAGGCCATGAGGCGGGTAGAGTACCTCTACCCTGATGTGTGGAAGTCTTCTTGAGACGAGGACATTGGCTGGATATGTCCCATACTGGGCTAGGGAAAGAGAGATGTGTAATTCAAGAAAATGAGACGAGATGAAAAGGCAACAGCATTCTAGACACCTTGCCGGATCGCACTCTAGTGACATGAGCAGACAGGCCGTCTTGGGTGTCTTATCCGGGTCTACTTGCAGGGGCTCATGTGAGGATGGGCAGACATGGTACGTCTTGCTCTCCGATCTCCCCCTCTCATCTCTTGTCGCCACGGAGGAAGAGGTGCAAACGAGACCAGTATGGCTGATACCGCGGTGCAGGTATCCACGATCACAGGCCGTCACGGGATAAGAGAAGATGGCACATGTCTCTGGACATTGAGGGCGAAGCAGACTTGATCTGACAAGGACGAGGCATGCACGAAATCGAGGCCCGTACGGAGAATCCGGTATGAAGACGGCCGACGGGGGAGACGGGAAAAATAGAAGAAGAAGAACACATGGGAGGCAGATGCAAAACTTTTACTCTCGCCATCTCTCCCCTACCGCTCCCAATGTAACGACCGCCACATTGACTGAAAGTCACAATTTGCCGAGAAGGAAGGGGAGAGAAAGAGGCGACTGCATCGGCCGGCCCGACAAATAAGAAACGAGCATCGTTCTGTCATTGCCCTCCCTCCTCCCCCCCCCCCAAAATAAAAGGATGACGAACGTCTGTCATATTAGATGTACGCATACACACGCACACGCACGCACACGCACACGCACACGCACACGCTGTTGTAGAGTATATCACCCGAGGACGAAGATCGCCATTCAACACACACACACACACACACACACACGCCCTCTCTCCTCCTCTCACCCCCTCGCGTCCTGCAGATATGATGCTATAGACTGATGGTAGAGTCGTAGGGCATGACGGGTAGGTACGTAATAAAAAGGGGATGGAGGGCAGCGGAGATCTGCAAAGGCTCCTTGGGGTTCGAAATCCGAGGAGAGCAGAAGGAGAGGGTAGCAGGGAAGAGGAGTAGTATACGATCATGAGTCCACCCCTCTCCCTGGCTGCAGATGAATGCAGGACCCAAGAGTGGGGAAGGGTAGACAAGGAGGAAGAAGGATTTCATTGACATTTGATAGACGGTATGATTTGCATACATATGAAGATTGGATTTCTTTTTCAAAAAAAAAAAAAAAAAGTTTTTTTTTTTCACTTTCCGTCTTTCACTTTTTCACTCTTCTTCTTTCTTCTTCTTCTTTCTTCTTCCTCTTCTTCTTCTTCTCTCTTCTTCTTCTTTTCCTCTTTCTCACTCTTCCTTCCCCCTCCCTCTTTTTCTTCTCTTTCTTTCTTTCTTCATATATATACTACAGGGACGGGTGTGGTTGGTTCAATGAATCAGCAAACATCAATAAGAAATTTCCATCTTTCTAGTCGTCGACATGGAGGAAGGCTCTGATGTGCAGTTGGAGCGGAGCGGAGATGTTGGAGGTGCACATAGTGGAATACGACGTGATAGTGCATGGTGTTGGGGGGGTCTACAGTCGTGTGTATAAGCCGGTCACATTCTCTGACAAGAAGATCTGGTAGGACAAGATTCATGCAGTACCGGTCACGGCCAGCATCACCACACGTAGTCTAGTAGTAGCAAGCAGCAAGTAGTAGTGGTAAGTAGTAGTAGCAAGTAGCAGTAGTAGCAAGTAGTACCCTTCTTCCCCCGTCTCGGCAGCCATGCAAGTCATACGGGCAGCATCAATGGAATATATATATATATATATATAATAGTACAAGGTATCACGACAGGCAGGTAAACTGTAACGTAGACGACGACACGACGACGTGAAGACTGCGACGGTACTGCAAGGCCGAGAGACACTAGCACGGCATGGTCCGTACATTGAGAGATTAATACGGACCTGGTAGTACGAGTACGAATCGACAGCTCTGCAGCCGATGGTGATGATGGTGACGATGGTGATGATGTGAGGACCCCTGCGGTGGCGTATCGGCACTAGCGATGCACACGGCCCAAAGCGGATGGGAGAATCGCAAAAGGGCCCCGTGTCAAGCAACTGTCGGATCCCCCATCCTCCAAAATACTGTGTGGTTGACGGACGGACCGTGGTACAGGAGCAGTCGAGAGCTCCCATGTCTCGCCGTCCCACTTCTCTCTCTCTCGCTCTCCTCTCCAGCCTCTCCCCCCTCCCTCACCCCTCTCTCCCCCTCCCCCCGAAACGACGGAGAGGCGTGTCCGGATGACGAGCAGCAGGGACGACATTCCTGTGCGTTCTCGCATACGGAGCACAACGTCCGTGAATCCGAGCCTCAACAGGATAGACGGGGGACCGAGATCCATCTGCGTCCTCTCGCCATCTGCCCATGAACGGAACCGAGTCAGAGCCGGGATGCTGGCAGCACCCGTTTGTTCGTGGTAATGACAGCTGGTGGGTAGAGAGCAGTGAGCAGTTCTTACATGTGACACGTTTTATGCTATTTCCTGCCAATACCCTTTCTCCTTGGCGAGACAAGGTACGTACATACATGTACGAGAGCAGGAGTGTAGGGGTCATTAATATATGATGACAATACAGATTATAATGTATCAATATGAAATACCTGCCTCTTTTTTTCCCTCTCTTTTTTTCTTTTCGAAGAGCAGAGGTGCCAGCTTGGTTCATCTCTAGAGTATTCATCACTACAGACCCCGTTATTAGCTGCATGATTTTTTTTCGAATTTTTTTTTTCTTTGTTGGTCTTTTCTGATTTTTTTCCTTCTCAAAAACAAGAGTAGTTTTTTTTTTTTTCCATTCTTTGTTGGACGATATCCCCACCTGAGAATTCAATGTGTCTGATCATCTATTTTTACCTTGGTATTGATGCTGTCGATACATGCGCCCGTCAGTCGTACGCTAAAAGGGCGTAGTGCTGAATATCCCGGGACGGCACATACACAGAAAGAGGGGAAACGAAGAGAAAAAAAAGTTGGAAGAAATGAAAGTACCGAGACCGGAGGTACCGTCTGTGTCGTGTTTTGATATATATATATATGTATATATGTATATACATATTATATACATGTCTCCCTTGCAATCCATTTTGATTGAAACTGTTGTTGGTGTGCTTGTGAGGCAGAAGCAGAAGCAGAAGCAGAAGCAGAAGCAGAAGCAGCCGACCTGTCACTTTGCCCTCTTGTCAACATCCATTGCCCCCCCCCCCCCCCCACAGACGGACAGACGCACGCGGAAGAAAAAAAGGGCACGTACGGATCAATGAGGGGAACGGCCGGGACGTGGTACAGCAAACGTGTATTACATGTAACGTACATACACATGTACGACCACCCTCTACCGGGTATAAATGCCCGAAAGGACAGTCTATGCGAATAGAGAAGGCGGAAAGGGCGTCTCATAGCAGGATGATATGTGACCGTGACAAGGATTGGGGGGGGGGGGGGGGG